ACATCAACATCGACGTCACCGTTCCCCCAAACGTGAGTCTGAAGAACACCTGCACCTGTACGCACCTGCATGCACCTGTATGTACCTGTACACACCTGTATGCACCTGCATGCACCTGTATGTACCTGTACACCTGCATGCACCTGTACACCTGCATGCACCTGCATGTACCTGTACACACCTGTATGCACCTGCATGCCCCTGTATGTACCTGTACACCTGCATGCACCTGTACACACCTACATGCACCTGTACACCTGCATGCACCTGCATGCACCTGTATGTACCTGCATGCACCTGTATGTACCTGTACACCTGCGTGCACCTGTACACCTGCATGCACCTGTATGTACCTGTACACCTGCATGCACCTGCATGCACCTGTATGCACCTGTATGCACCTGCATGTACCTGTACACCTGTATGCACCTGCATGTACCTGTACACACCTGTATGCACCTGCATGCACCTGTATGTACCTGTACACCTGCATGCACCTGTACACCTGCATGCACCTGTATGTACCTGTACACCTGCATGCACCTGTACACCTGTATGCACCTGCATGCACCTGTATGTACCTGTACACCTGCATGCACCTGTACACCTGCATGCACCTGCATGCACCTGTACACCTGCATGCACCTGTACACCTGCATGCACCTGTATGTACCTGTACACCTGCATGCACCTGTACACCTGTATGCACCTGCATGCACCTGTATGTACCTGTACACCTGCATGCACCTGTACACCTGCATGCACCTGCATGCACCTGTATGTACCTGTACACCTGTATGCACCTGTACACCTGCATGCACCTGCATGCACCTGTATGCACCTGTATGCACCTGTATGCACCTGTATGCACCTGTATGTACCTGTACACCTGCATGTACCTGTACGCACCTGCACGCACCTGCATGCACCTGTACACCTGCATGCACCTGCATGCACCTGTACACCTGTATGCACCTGCACGCACCTATACACCTGTATGCACCTGTACACCTGTATGCACCTGTACGCACCTGTACACCTGCGTGTTCTTTCTGTAGTGCTGACAGTGTTTCTGTCACAGATGACTCAGCCTGAAGTTCTCATCCAGGTTCTGGAGATCCTCAAGTCGAGCCGTGAGTCCTGCCTTTGTCTGCAAACCTTCCGGGTGTTCGGCTCGGTTTAACTCTAGATTTGTTTTTTTCAGCGGATTTCTCGGAGGTGGAGTCGGATTTTCACGCCAAAGTCCCGACTGTGTTTTGTCGAGACGTTCACAGGTACAACTCCAAGCGCTGTTGTGTCCTTGGGCAAAGCACTGGGAGGAAACAGTGGATAAACACACTTTATATACACTTTATATAAAAATATATTTGTTTATAAATTATATACATTAATATTTGTATATAAACATGTTTTTATATATCAACATATTCTGTACTTTATTCTGTTGTTCCTACAGTCGACTCGTGTGCAAAGTCAGCGGCGGAAACGACGTGGCCTGTCTCACGACCAATCACCTCGCAGCGCTGTCCAAACTCGAGCCGCGATTGGTTCCTCTGGTCCTGGCCTTCAGACACTGGGCCCGGGTAAGAACCAAGACCCGGACTGGACCCAGTTTGTTTCTTCTTCTCCTGTTCTGACGTGTTTGTTTCTTCTTCTTCTGTTCGTGTTGCAGCTGTGTCATATGGACCACCAGGCTGAAGGGGGCATCCCGTCGTACTCTCTGGCCCTCATGGTCATCTTCTTCCTGCAGCAGCGTCCTCGGCCCGTGCTGCCCGTTTACATCGGGCCCTGGGTGAGTCTGTGACCGTGGTTCTGGTGGTTCTGGTGGTTCTGATGGTTCTGATGGTTCTGGTTCTGTGTGTTTCAGATCTCTGGGTTTGAGCTGAAGCGTGTGGATGAGTTCCACCTCACGGGGATCTGTCAGGACGCCTTCGTGCGCTGGGAACACCGGCCCCCAAGCACTGACAGGAGCGACAGGAGCGACAGGACAGACAACCGGACTAAACCAGAACCGTCCCGGACCGAGCCGCACTCCTTTGAGGGTCTGGTGAGTCCTGATGGTCTCTACACGGGTTATTTCTGTTATTCTGCTGATTTACTGCCGTTTATGTTGTAATTACATTTAATAATAGTAATAACATTTAGAACATCACATTTAATTAAACAGTTTGAATCTTTTATGGATTATTTCTGATTCAGAGTTTTGTGTCAGTGACAGAAATTATTTTCAGTATTTTTTATCATCTATAATTTCTTTAAAAGCACGAAACTGATGATGACTCACAGGACTGAGAACCTGCATGGTTCCTCGCTTAAACCTGGTGTAAACCCGGTGTAAACCCGGTCTCTCTCCTCAGAGCTCCCTGGCCCTTTCGAGTCCGGACTCAGTCTAAACCCGGTCTAAACCTGGTCTCTCTCCTCAGAGCTCCCTGACCCTCTCGAGTCCAGACTCGGTCTAAACCCGGTCTAAACCTGGTCTTTCTCCTCAGAGCTCCCTGACCCTCTCGAGTCCGGACTCGGCCTGCGTGGGGCAGCTGTGGTTGGATCTGTTCAGGTTTTACACTCTGGAGTTTCCTCTGGAGGATTTCATCATCAGCATCAGAGTCCAAGAACAGCTGAGCCGCGAGGCCAAAGGCTGGCCCCGGCGCCGGCTCGCCATCGAAGGTACCACGCACAACCATGTACGACAACATACGACAACGTACGACAACATAAAACAACATACAACTACTGTACAACACACACACAGGTCAAAGCCCCGGCGCCGTTCGCCATCGAAGGTATCACAATATACACGATTATATACAACAAACAACAACATGTAACAACAACAAATAAATACTGTATAACACACACACACAGACGCACACACAGACGCACACACACGGTGACGTGACACACACACACGCACAGCTCCACTGAAGTCAGTTCTTTGAGATCAGAGTGTGTTTGTGCAGGTGAATTCAGACAGAGCAGTGCTTCAGTTAGCGTTTGTGTTTTCAGACCCGTTTGCGCTGAAGAGGAACGTGGCGAGGAGCCTGAACAGTCAGATGGTGTTCGAGTACGTCCAGGAGCGATTCAGAACCGCCTACAGGTACTTCGCCGAGCCGCAGAAGACCCCAAGAAAAACCCGAACCAGGACCCGACCAGAACCCGGCCACAACAGAACCAGGACCAAGGAGGAGGAGCCAAACCAGAGCGACGCCATCGACCGCCGACTCCAAAACCTGGGCCTAGACCAGGAGCCAGACCAAGACCAGAGTCGGACTGAGGAGCGAGTGAACGGACTGAACGAGAGTGAAGAAGAGGAGGAGGAAGAGGAGGAAGAGGAGGAAGAGGAAGAAGAAGAAGAGGAAGAAGAGGAAGAAGAAGAGGAGGAAATGTTCTACGAGTTTGACAAAATGATCTTCACCGGAGGAAAGGTGAGGCACAAAACTTCAGCTCTGATGTTTGTGTAAACTTCATGTCCTGTTAGTGGCCTGTTCACACTGTTAAGGCCTGTTCACATTGTTAAGGCCTGTTCAAACAGTTAAGGCCTGTTCACACAGTTAAGGCCTGTTCACACAGTTAAGGCCTGTTCACACTGTTAAGGCCTGTTCACACTGTTAAGGCCTGTTCACACTGTTAAGGCCTGTTCACACTGTTAAGGCCTGTTCAAACACTTAAGGCCTGTTCAAACAGTTAAGGCCTGTTCACACAGTTAAGGCCTGTTCAAACAGTTAAGGCCTGTTCACACAGTTAAGGCCTGTTCACACAGTTAAGGCCTGTTCACACTGTTAAGGCCTGTTCAAACACTTAAGGCCTGTTCACTGTTAAGGCTGTTCACACTGTTAAGGCCTGTTCAAACACTTAAGGCCTGTTCACACTGTTAAGGCCTGTTCACACTGTTAAGGCCTGTTCAAACACTTAAGGCCTGTTCACACTGTTAAGGCCTGTTCACACTGTTAAGGCCTGTTCAAACACTTAAGGCCTGTTCACACTGTTAAGGCCTGTTCACACTGTTAAGGCCTGTTCACACTGTTAAGGCCTGTTCACACTGTTAAGGCCTGTTCATACTTCATAAGAACATAAGAACTTTGTTCTTGTTCTTGAGGTGATAAGAACAAGAACAAAGTTCATGTGGGCTCTGACATTTCATACTTCTGCCCGCCCCCACGATCTGCCCCGCCCCCACGATCTGCCCCGCCCCCAAGATCTGCCCCGCCTCCACGATCTGCCCCGGCCCCAAGATCTGCCCTGACCCTGTGTTTACATTGTGTTTACGTTGTGTTTACGTTGTGTTTACGTTGTGTTTGCGTTGTGTTTACGTTGTGTTTACGTTGTGTTTACGTTGCGTTGTGTTTGCCTTGTGTTTACGTTGTGTTTGCCTTGTGTTTGCGTTGTGTTTGCGTTGTGTTTGCGTTGTGTTTGCGTTGTGTTTACGTTGTGTTTACGTTGCATTGTGTTTGCCTTGTGTTTACGTTGTGTTTACGTTGTGTTTGCGTTGTGTTTGCGTTGTGTTTACGTTGTGTTTACGTTGCATTGTGTTTGCCTTGTGTTTACGTTGTGTTTGCGTTGTGTTTGCGTTGTGTTTGCGTTGCCTTTACGTTGTGTTTACGTTGTGTTTGACGTGTGCTCTCTACAGCCCCCGGTGGTGGTGTGCAGCATCTGTAAACGTGACGGACATCTTAAAGACGAGTGTCCCGAGGATTTTAAAAAGATCGAACTGAAACCTCTTCCTCCGATGAACGAACGCTTCAGAGAAATCCTGGACGGGCTGTGCCGCCTCTGCTACCGTAAGATTCTTTTATATAAACGTAAATATATCATCTGTATGTGTGCGTGTATAATCTGTGTGTGTGTATAATGTGTGTGTGTGTATAATCTGTGTGTGTGTGTCTAATCTGTGTGTGTGTATAATCTGTGTGTGTGTATAATCTGTGTGTGTGTATAATGTGTGTGTGTATAATCTGTGTGTGTGTATAATCTGTGTGTGTGTGTATAATATATGTGTGTGTATAATATATGTGTGTGTATAATCTGTGTGTGTCTAATCTCTGTGTGTGTGTATAATATATGTGTGTGTGTATAATCTGTGTGTGTGTATAATATATGTGTGTGTATAATATATGTGTGTGTATAATCTGTGTGTGTGTATAATCTGTGTGTGTGTGTATAATATATGTGTGTGTATAATCTGTGTGTGTGTCTAATCTGTGTGTGTGTATAATATATGTGTGTGTATAATCTGTGTGTGTGTATAATATATGTGTGTGTGTATAATATATGTGTGTGTGTATAATATATGTGTGTGTATAATATATGTGTGTGTATAATCTGTGTGTGTGTCTAATCTCTGTGTGTGTGTAATCTGTGTGTGTGTCTAATCTGTGTGTGTGTATAATATATGTGTGTGTGTATAATCTGTGTGTGTGTATAATATATGTGTGTGTATAATATATGTGTGTGTATAATCTGTGTGTGTGTCTAATCTGTGTGTGTGTATAATCTGTGTGTGTGTATAATATATGTGTGTGTGTATAATCTGTGTGTGTATATAAAGTGTGTGTGTGCTTCCTCCTGTCAGATGAACTTTCGCCGACGCCGGTGGAGCAGCAGAGGCGTGAGCAGATCCTCCTGTCGCTCGAGAGGTTCATCCGTAAAGAGTTCAACGGTAAAAACTGAGCAAAAAACAAGAGAGAAAAAAACTTTAAAAACGAGAAAAAGGAACGACAGCGACAAACACGAGTCTGGACCTAAAACAGCAGAGCCACAGATTGGGCCCATATTTGCCGTTATTTAGTTTTGTCCGATTTGATGCGGATTTTAATACTTTAATATTTCAATGTTTTTATTTTTATTTTGCGTGTGTGTGTCTGTGTGTTGTTGATCTAAAGTGTGTGTGTGTGTTTTTCAGATAAAGCTCAGTTGTGTCTCTTTGGTTCGTCTAAAAACGGCTTCGGGTTCAGAGACAGTGACTTGGACATCTGCATGACTCTAGAGGGCCACAGCACGGCCGAGGTGAGGGGCGGGGCTAGAGGGAGGGGCGGGGCTAGGGGAGAGGGGCAGGGCCATGGGGAGGGGCGGGGCTAAGAAACCGAGGTAATTTAAGTTCAGGGAGTTTTTTGTTTTGAAATGTCCCAGATTTTTTATTTTTTACACACAAATTCCTGTTTTTGTTTTTAACAGAACCTGAACTGTAAAGACATCATCGAGAGTTTGGCCAAAGTCCTGAAGAAACACACAGGTGAGATCCTGGTCTGAACCTGGTCTAGAACTGGTCTACAGAGTCCAGACTGAAACCACTTTGGTCTCTGGTCTCTGATCTGGTCTGGGTTGTAAATCCTGGTCTGGTTCTAGGTCTGAGGAACATTCTGCCCATCACCACGGCCAAAGTTCCCATCGTGAAGTTTGAGCATCGCCAAAGCGGCCTCGAAGGCGACATCAGTCTCTACAACACTCTGGTGAGGGAGGGCATCTGGCTGAATGAGGGAGGGCATCTGGCTGAATGAGGGAGGGCATCTGGCTGAATGAGGGAGGGCATCTGGCTGAATGAGGCTTTTTAATGCTCTGTCTGTGAAACATGTTGTATAAATAAACTCTACTTCTTACTAAAATGTGGGAGGGCATCTGACTTAGTCTCATTTATATTCTGTGTAAACATATTTACTGTTCATAAAGACATTCAGTCCTGGTTCAGACCTGGTTTAATCCTGATTCTGCTTCTGGTCTGGTCCTGACCCTGGTTCTGGTTCTGACCCTGGTTCTGGTTCTGGTTCTGGTTCTGGCCCTGGTTCTGGTCCTGACCCTGGTTCTGGTCTTTCAGGCTCAGTATAACACTCGGATGTTGGCGACGTACGCGGCTCTCGACCCCAGAGTCCAGCTGCTCGGATACACCATGAAAGTGTTCGCCAAGGTACAAGTACACGCAGTACACAGAGTACACGCAGTACACAGAGTACACACAGTACACAGAGTACACGCAGTACACATAATTTACAGAGTACACACTCAGTGTGGGAGCCTAAACTCAGTTTTGTAGTTTTTTTAATTATTGAGATAATTATTCTTATTTAGTTTGATTTAATATTTACTTAAAATGCATAATTTTTGGTGTTTTGGTAATTCTTTATGGTTATCATGATTATTTGTTGATTTTTACAAAATAATTTGATCTATGTATATTTTTCTTCCAATTAATTATTGCTAATGTTAATCATAAGTTTAGTAAGTTTAGTAATGTTTATTTTTTTTATTATTTTGTGGTCTGTGGCTCCTTATTTGAGATGTGTGCAGGTGCACCAGGAGAGGGTGGAGTGTAGTAGAGAGAGGTGACAGTTTTTTTACCTCCTGTCACCTGTACATTAAAGTTCCCCTTTTTTTGTTTGTATTTGTGTGTCCTAATACTGTGAATCCCCAGTAAAGAGTTTTTAAACTGCACTTGGGTCACTTTCTGTGGATTCTTTTATTTTTGAGGCATTTTAAAAGGTGGAACAAGGTGCGCAAAGCGTCAACTCTGGCTTCACAAATGTTTGGACCTTACACCTTACACAGTACATGGAGTACACACAGTACACAACAAAACGCGGAATACACATATACAGTACATGAATTATACACAGTACATGGCACCTATTGTGGGTACGATGTGTACACACACAGTACATGGAGTACACACACATCACACACATCACACACATCACACATTTATACAGTTTATAATCACATTTATACATCTATAATATCATGTAGTGTAAATGTGTTTTTCTCACAGAGGTGTGACATTGGAGACGCCTCCAGGGGGAGCCTGTCATCCTACGCCTACATCCTGATGGTGCTGTACTTCCTCCAGCAGAGAACACCACCAGTCGTGCCCGTTCTCCAGGAGGTACCTGGTTCCATTCCCTCTTTTCCCTGACATTAAATGCATAATTACAGTGGGTGGGCAATAATTATAGTGATGTGTGCAGATGTATGACGGCACGGTGGCGCCTCAGAAAATGGTGGACGGATGGAATGCCTTCTTCTGCGACGACCTGCAAGAACTGGTCTGTATCCAGGGTTTAGATCTGGTTTAGTCCTGTTTTAGTCCTAGTTTAGTTCTGTAACAGTACTCTGCATGTTCTCATAGCGGCGGCGTTTAGTGGAGCAGCCGTTAAACTCCGAGCCTGTGGGGGCGCTGTGGCTCGGCCTGCTGCGCTTTTACACTGAAGAGTTTGATTTTAAAGAACACGTGATCAGCATCAGACAGAAGAAACGCCTCACCACCTTCGAGAAGCAGTGGACCAGCAAGTGCATCGCTATAAGAAGGTACGACCCCTGACCCCCGCACGACCCCTGACCCCTGACCCCCGACCCTGACCCCGACCCCTGACCCCGCACGACCCCTGCACGACCCCTGACCCCCCCGCACGACCCCTGACCCCCGCACGACCCCTGACCCCTGACCCCCGCACGACCCCTGACCCCCCGCACGACCCCTGACCCCCGCACGACCCCTGACCCCCGCACGACCTCTGACCCCTGAAAATGAAGTGGTAGTTTCCAAGTTCTCAGTTCTTTTTCCTTTAGTTCAGTCGAGATTGGCATTTCAAGGACTGAAATGATCCAAATGGTTCTAGTGAAGGTGTGTGGACTTTAAAAACACAGTGAAGCACTTCCTGTATGACCACATGATGACATCACAAGGTGGAACAGTGTTTTCAGTTTGAGGGTTTGTGTGTTAAACACAACTCCAGGTGTGATAATGGTGTAAAACTCTTGTGTTTTCATGTTTTTGTGTTTCAGATCCGTTCGACTTGAACCATAACCTCGGCGCCGGAGTCTCGCGGAAAAGTAAAACACAAATAAAATAAATAAATATACAGAGATTTGTGTAAAAAATATAAATATATTTATTTATATTTCAACCAAACTCCTGTTTGTGTTTCAGTGACAAACTTCATCATGAAAGCGTTTATAAACGGCAGGAAGCTGTTTGGGACGCCGTTCTACCCCCCACCGGGCTCCGAAGTGGTACGTGCCCAGACCTGGTTTAGTCCTGGTTTAGTCCTGGTTTAGTCCTGGTTTAGTCCTGGTTTAGTCCTGGTTTAGTCCACCACATTCACCTGTCCTTCACCTGTCCTTCACCTGTCATTCACCTGTCATTCACCTGTCATTCACCTGTCCTTCACCTGTCATTCACCTGTCCTCCTCCTGTCATTCACCTGTCATTCACCTGTCCTCCTCCTGTCCTTCACCTGTCATTCACCTGTCATTCACCTGTCCTCCTCCTGTCATTCACCTGTCTGCCTGTCATTCACCTGTCATTCACCTGTCCTTCACCTGTCATTCACCTGTCCTTCTCCTGTCATTCACCTGTCCTTCACCTGTCATTCACCTGTCCTTCACCTGTCATTCACCTGTCATTCACCTGTCATTCACCTGTCATTCACCTGTCCTTCACCTGTCCTCCTCCTGTCATTCACCTGTCTTTTGCCTGTCATTCACCTGTCATTCACCTGTCCTTCACCTGTCATTCACCTGTCTTTTGCCTGTCATTCACCTGTCCTTCACCTGTCATTCACCTGTCTTTTGCCTGTCATTCACCTGTCATTCACCTGTCCTTCACCTGTCATTCACCTGTCTTTTGCCTGTCATTCACCTGTCCTTCACCTGTCATTCACCTGTCCTTCACCTGTCATTCACCTGTCATTCACCTGTCCTTCACCTGTCATTCACCTGTCCTTCACCTGTCACCTGTCATTCACCTGTCTTTTGCCTGTCACCTGTCATTCACCTGTCCTTCACCTGTCATTCCTGTCTTTTGCCTGTCATTCACCTGTCTTTTGCCTGTCATTCACCTGTCATTCACCTGTCCTTCACCTGTCATTCACCTGTCCTTCACCTGTCCTCCTCCTGTCATTCACCTGTCTTTTGCCTGTCATTCACCTGTCATTCACCTGTCCTTCACCTGTCATTCACCTGTCTTTTGCCTTCCTTCACCTGTCATTCACCTGTCTTTTGCCTGTCATTCACCTGTCATTCACCTGTCCTTCACCTGTCTTTTGCCTGTCATTCACCTGTCTTTTGCCTGTCCTTCACCTGTCATTCACCTGTCTTTTGCCTGTCATTCACCTGTCATTCACCTGTCATTCACCTGTCATTCACCTGTCATTCACCTGTCTTTTGCCTGTCATTCATTCACCTGTCTCCTGTCATTCACCTGTCATTCACCTGTCATTCACCTGTCATTCACCTGTCATTCACCTGTCTTTCAGGATTATTTCTTCGACTCGAAGGTCCTCACAGACGGGGAGTTGGCGCCGAACGATCGCTGCTGCCGAATCTGCGGCAAAATCGGCCACTACATGAAAGACTGTCCCAAGAGACGCCGGTAACTGCCCCCAACTACCTCCAACTGCCCCCAACTGCCCCCAACTACCTCCAACTGCCCCCAACTGCCCCAACTACCCCCAACTACCCCAACTACCCCAACTGCCCCCAACTGCCCTGCCCCAACTGCCCCAACTGCCCCCAACCCCCAACTGCCCCCAACTGCCCCCAACTACCCCAACTGCCCCCAACTACCCCCAACCCCCAACTACCCCAACTACCCCAACTGCCCCCAACTGCCCCCAACTACCTCCAACTGCCCCCAACTGCCCCCAACTGCCCCCAACTGCCCCCCAACTACCCCCAACTGCCCCAACTACCCCAACTACCCCAACTGCCCCCAACTACCCCCAACTACCCCCAACTGCCCCAACTACTGCCCCAACTGCCCCCAACTACCTCCAACTGCCCCCAACTACCCCAACTGCCCCCAACTGCCCCCAACTGCCCCCAACTACCCCAACTGCCCCAACTGCCCCCAACTACCCCAAACTGCCAACTGCCCCCAACTGCCCCCAACTACCCCCAACTGCCCCCAACTACCTCCAACTACCCCAACTGCCCCAACTGCCCCAACTGCCCCAACCCCAACTGCCCAACTACCCCCAACTGCCCCAACTGCCCCAACTGCCCCCCAACTACCCCCAACTACCCCCAACTGCCCCCAACTGCCCCAACTACCAACTGCCCCAACTGCCCCAACTACCCCAACTGCACCTAACTACCAACCCCAACTGCCCCCAACTGCCCCAACTACCCCCCCAACTACCCCCAACTGCCCAACTCCCCCAACTGCCCAACTACCCCAACTGCCCCAAACCCCCAACTGCCCCCAACTGCCCCAACTACTGCCCCAACTGCCCCAACTGCCCCAACTCCCCCAACTGCACCTAACTACCCCAAGAGACGCTGGTAACTGCCCCTAACTAACCCATCACCCATGTGACTAACTTTGCCTGAAGGGCCGCCCCCTTTCAGCCTTGACCACTGCTGGAGTTGACCTCTGACCTCTGACCTCTGACCTCAGGGTGAAGAAGAAGGACGGCGAGAGCGTCGAGGACAGAGACGAAGAGCAGAGACGATGTTTCCAGTGCGGAGACGCTGGACACGTGAGACGAGACTGTCCGGACTACAGACCCACGAAGACCAGAGCCCCAGGACCCCAGGGTGAGAACTGGACCAGGACTGAAACGGGTCTATGACGGAACTGAACCAAAGCCAAAATGTTCAGATTACAGCATTAAACTTACAGGCTCAAAAATACTTGGTAAAAACATGGATTCTTTCTGTAACTGGGCTCGCCTCTGCACAGATCTGACCTGTAACATGAGAGCTTTAATTCCAAAGAAAAATTATTTAAGTCTGAATCAAACTTCGGCAAACGCTCGTTGTGTCGTCCTTCTGACGCGTCGATCCGGACGATCCGGTCCTGGTCCTGGTCCAGTCGTGTCTCGGGACTTTGATCCACGTCTCTTTGGATTTGTGAGCAGGATGCGGGAGTGAGCTGAGCTTTTGTCTTCTCCCTCCTCCTCCTCAGCTCACAGACGGAAAGTGTGACGAGACGATTCTCCAGCCGCTGCACAACAATTATCATCAGAACCACTGCGGGTTCAAAAAGTCTGGATGGTTTTGTGTCCGTGGAGGAACCACAAACCCAGACGACAGAAAAGTTTGTGTTTTCTTCCCAAAGACGTAAATACGTTTGCGCGCCTGTCGTCAGGAGGTCTTAGTCCAAGTCCGGACTAAACCCGGTCTTCAGGAGGTCTTAGTCCAATTCTGGACTAAACCTGGTCTTGTTTCCACAGGAGGTCTCCCGGTCCAGAGGAGCTCCCAGTCCATCTCTGTGAACCAAGACGGACGAAGCAGAAACAACTCTGAGTGTGTGAGTAGAACCAGGACTGAACCAGGTCTGAACCAAGACTAAACCAGGACTGAATCAGGACTAAACCAGATCTGAACCAGGACTAAATCTCTCTGTGGTTTCAGTCGGACAGCCGTCAGACTCCGCCCACTCTGCCTCAGAGCTCCTCCCCTCAGGCTTACAAAGCCCCGCCCCTCCAGCAGATGGCGCTGTTGGGGTTTCCTCCGCCTCTGGGGCAGTGGCCTCAGTTCAAACTCAACGACCCGAGCATCATCTTCGCTCAGCC